ACCAGACCCAGTACTGACTCCTGGGGAACACTGCTAGTAAAATATAGTTTTAGTAAAAGAAAGATCTTTGTACAAAACACAGTAAGAAACTAAAGCTAGGCAAATTTGGAGTAGAAGATTTCTTAACTACGAGGATAATCAACTACTGAAAAAAATGTGTTATAACTAGTGGTAGATTCCTTGCTACTGAAGCCAAGGACAAAATTTTTTTCCAGAGGAAAAACTGAGTAATATACATCAATATTGACCAAGGAAAATATGAGTCTGGGCTGGGTAGAAGATTAACACAAATGATTACAATGCTCCTTTTTTTGTCTAATGGCTAATGACTCATTCATGTAGACTTAAATCTTCTGCCTGTGGGAAAGATTAGTGAATGAACATCACTGAATCCTTAACTAAACTAAAAATGCTGGTAACTGCTTACCTGTACTAACACCTCCAGTGAAAATCCAAGCTCCTGTGGTCATGGCAGCCTTTATCAGACCTTTTCCAAATACTTGCTTTAATTTAGGTTGCATGTCAAAGTTCTGGAGGCCTCCATGGACAGAGATTAAAAGTTTGGGCAGTTCCAGTTGCCAGTCTTTCACCATGAGATGCAGCAGAGAATCTGGTTTAGTGTCATAGGACACACGGATATACTGCAAAGAGCAATGTGTAATATTATCACTCTATCTGCTCTGTAAATCGTCTATTGACTGAGCAAAGAATAGTTATATTAAGCCTTCGATCTTGAAGAAAGGGCTTTACAATTTTTAAGCAACACATTATTAAATTTCTCTGCTGCTTATGATTAGCAAAAATAGGTTAAAACTTTTCATTTTGCTATTGAGAATTTACCATTCACTTCATGAATTTTAAAAGCACCACTCTCCTCTCTTCACCTGCAAAACTGTCTGCAATCAAGTGATCCTAAGCTTTTATTACAAATCTGCATTGTTGGAAGCCACTTATTTAAAATGACTGGAAGGTGTTTTGTATGGTTCCTAAAACCTCTGGTTTGACTGCCAAAGAGAAGGAATGACCTTTGTAAGAAATAGGAGACTAATGTTACATTTTATCCCATTAACTGTTGATACACATATTTCTGCCTCCAAAGCACTGATGTGCATTCTTCTCAGTTTAGTTCCTCTGTTGTGATTTCTTTTCAAACTACTACTCTGTTAAAGAAAACTATGAAACAAACTCATGTTTATTTCTGCTCTAAAAAAAAACAAACCACCACTAAGAAAAACCACCAACCTCTCCCACACATTTTGGATAAGTTTTTGCAGTGTGGTTGTCTTGCGTGATAGTCTCAGCAGAGACATAAGAAAGCAAATGGGCAAAGAAACTAATCTAGGTTTGGATTTGTTCAGGAGAGAGGCAAAACAGAAAGAGATTTTTTGCAGAAGCTTGACTTGCTGTTACTTCCATTGCTAGGAAAACTCAACAGTCCATTTTCCAGCTCTGTCAGGCCCCCATCTTTCAGGAAGGCAAGATTAATTTCTTACTATTCTTGTTATTTGGCCCACAAATCTAATACAAACAGATGGAATCTTAGGCATTAATACATGCAGCTGCCTCATTAGCTGATATTTACTGATAGTAATTTCAATAAAACTGTTTCATCAAGACATTATAAGATGCTTCCTAAGTAGGTGTCATTTTTGTCTTGCTTTTTCTCTTTCTCTTTTTGAGCATCTTGTTCACACCTTTCTAAGACAGTAAAGAGACCTTTTATTTCAATGGATTATGCACCGAGTGAGCTGGAATCTTGATACATATCTATTAAGCTAACATATCAGATGAATACCTTACAGTAGCTCCTTACCATGGCCTTATTTGAATGTCCTCCTCCTTGGAATTCAAGGTTTCCATAAGCATCAGTTGGGTACGTTTGGGTGTGCTTACTGACGGACCATTTCTCTGGCTGAGATTCCACTTGCTTTGTTTCTTCTTCATTTTTATTAGCTGTTATACTTGAAGGAGGTGGAATATGTTGGTTAATGAGCTGGCCACAGCAGCACCTGTAAGTTAAAATTTGAAGCAACTTCGATTAAACAGTATCTTCAACATTGCATGGTGATTTAAATTTTTTTTTTTTTTTTAAAGAAATTAAACTTTCAACTGACCATGCCCTGCTCTACATGAATCATAGAAACACCTCTTCCAGGTCATACTTGTTGTATTTGCCTACACACATACGCCAGAATTACCAGCCCACAGGTGTTTCTTAACAAGCAAAGATAAAAAAAAAATCACTTAATTTCTGTAATACACTGGAAAGCTGTTCCAGGCTAAAAGACAGGGGAGGAGGAAGAATGCAGAACAGGAGCAGTGACCATCTGTTTCTTACTCAGAGACGACAGCTAGCATGTGACATAAACCGTTACGTTATCCAAACAAGCTGGACCACAATTTAGCTAGCCTGTGCAGTAGCAGTAATATTAATGTTTGGACTAAGAATTCCAGTCGCCCTGTATAGTGTGTTATTGGTAGTGTCATGCCAATGGTGAAGAATGGTACCACTTGCTTCACAGCGCACATTATCGTACCTTTGCTTTCAGAATTCAGTATGAACTTAGGCTCTGGTTTGCAAAGCTAGGAACTAACAACTCACTGCTGCCCAGCCTTATCATTTCTGTATGACATGTCCCATGGCTCTGGACAGATTATAGTGCAAGCATGTCTTGCACTTTTGTTCCCCTGTCATTTCCCTCTAAAGGCAGTGAATAAACTGGGTTTCACATGTCTAATTCAAATGAAGTCCAGTTTCTTCAGTACTAATATTTTCTGTTGATCAAAACAAAAATTTCAAATGTTACCTGCTAATGTCTTTGTTGTTGGCAATTACATAGGTGCATTCTCTTTTTGAAAAGGTCTTCTCTATCCAAGCCTTTTGACCCTTAAAAGGGAAAAGAAATAAGAAGAAACATATTGAAATATTTCTGTGTGGCAGATATGGTAACATTTGCCTTCTATTTTCAGCTACTGTTTTTAAAAACAAGCACTGAATTAATTAAATCACTTTTAAACACCAGATACACCTACTCTTGAAGCAAGTAGGTGATGTGAATTTTCCATAACTTGGATAAAATTCAAACCTCAAATATGTGTAAAAACCTTTATGCACAAAGAAGCTAGTCTTGAAGTTACAATGTTAATTGAACATCTACCAAAAAATGCAGCTGCTGCTTCTTATTTTAGTAAGCAGTAAATGGACTCAAAGTAGTATAGAAAAAAAAAAAAAAACCATAAATTGTGGCATAAATAGATTAATAGTATTTATTCCAAAGAATACAATAGTATTGTTCTTTGTATGTAGAAACTGCTTCCCAAAAAAACTTTCCCTGCTTGATTAACCATCCTCTCAAAAACATATTTTTCCTGTTGTAAATCAAGTTCCAGTCATTCCTAAGGCATCTTACTCTTAAGGAGATGAGGAGGCAGCATCCCATAAATTGGGATTACTCAGGAGGCAGCATCCCATAAATTGAAAGAACATTTGACAGAAAAAGTACAAACTCTTCAGGCATGGTGTAGCTGTGAAACAGGAGGAGGAAAACAAACCTTGAAGGCAAAATAAAATTGTGTTGGCCTATTATATTGTGTTTGCAACCCAGAAATTAGAACAAGCTTGCAGCCATTTTAAAAATAACGATGTGTAAGTGAGCTAGAACAAAATCATAGATCTGCGCAATGCGGTTAGAAAGTCTGTTGCAGAAGGGCAGTCCAGTTGAGTTTGGGAACACTGAAGGGAATGAGTTCAGAAATAGATGCAGTCTAGAGTTTCTCACAGTTTCTTAGTTGCAGACCCCAGGCCTTCTGCGTCCCTACAACCATCAACAAGGCAAAGTATCATCAAGATTGCAACAATAAATCAACATTAACAAAACTAACTCAAAAGAAGCCTTTTAATTTTAAAGGAATGAAAAAGGTTAAAAAGCACTCACAATTTGATGACACCAGTAATTTTGCCTTGCTGATGAAAGCTGCTTCTTCTGAGTCTGAATTAGGGAACAGCGTCTTAATTAGTTTTTCAAGTAGAAAGCATGTCCTATGTTTTGCTTTAGTTTCCTCTGTGGAAGTGAAATGAAACTTTTGCAGAGACAAAAGCTAAAAAATTACATGACAAATTTCAGGGTGCCTTGAGCAAAAAATAATTAATTGGCCTTTCCTAGAGCTGAAGAACTCACACGCCTTGCCAATTTCCTGACTTAAGAAAGTCAACTGCAGATTTCTGTTGGATGAATCCTCTGTCAGCCAGTCCGGTAACAGATCTGAGACTGGACTAGCCCCCTAAGTACTGCACAGACTACAGCATGATGAATAGAGGGTGTGGTAGTTCATCTTTTTTTCTTGTGTGAGGCAGGAGCTGTCTCTGAAGTTCCTTTGTTTGTTGACTTGTTAGTTCCTGTCTGGCTGCTTTGTTTCCTCCATTACATCTGAAATAATAGACTACGTGAAGTTGCCTCATTACAAATAATTAAGGAAAAAAATTGCAAACCCAAGCTTATACTTCATGAAAAAGCTGTCCGTAATCTGTCCAGGTACGTAAATATTTGCCTCTTTCAGGTGCCTTTGAGCCAGAATGCCTTGACAGTCAGTGCTCTGGGAGATCCTGCACTTCTGCTCTCCACTCTAATAAATTTACTGATTTACCAAGGCACAACCACCTCATTTCATTTTAAAAGGAGTTGTTAGGGAGCTCATAGCACCACAGAGCGAGGAAGAGTTAAGAACTCATTAGAGAAAACTTCATGCTTCTGGAATGACGAGGCATATCTTTCAGCCATTTAGCATAAAGAACTTGATTATGTAGCAAATTTTGAAGGAAGAGAGTATTAATTTAATATCTAAAGGTCGTGTGACTCCATATGTGCCTTCTTCAAATGAACCTAAAAAGCCTTTGTTCCCAAAAATATTTAAAAGGTTCTTTTTATATGCTTTCTGACAAGGCTTTTACAAGATTTCAAGTTTTAGCAATAGTATTATTATAAACAGAGCTCAGAAAATGCTTTAGTTTCATAGCATCAGTCTCTAGTTACTGAGGTGCCATTCTACAAAAGTACAGAAGAAAACCCAAGACAGGGACATCATGAGGCTCTGTGGTGTGTGGAAGTGGGTGGTTACATCAAACAAATGCCATTTACCTGTTCAGAGATTTTGCTAATTCACAGGTATTCAGGCTGTTCAAAATATTCAGAGACAAAAATAGATTGGAATTACAATAGTTTTTAAAAATTAATCCAAAGCCACTCAGTGTCCAAATTCACTGCTGTTTTACAACTGTTTTCAATGTTGTTACTTGTGCTTATACACACAATGTTATGACCTTTAATGTTATAAAATGAGCTTACCAGGCACCTGTTACAGAGGTTACATTATTTAGCTACTTTTAAAATTATATATTTTAATTTTTAATTAATTTATAATTAGTTTTTGTTTTATTATTACTTTATATATTTTAAACATACTCGCTTTTTTCCCCAAATAAAATTTTAGACTTCTGCGTGGTCTCTGCTAACTCCTTGACCAAGTGACACAAATGCCCAAATGAATCCCACAGTGCAGGAAACACTTTCCAAAGCATAAATGGTATCAGATGCTGCACATTTAACTGCTTGGTAGAGAATACTGGAAAATGCAAGCTAGAAATATCAAAACAACTTGGATTTTTACACCACATAATTGAGTACGACTTTACCTTATTCCTCGTAGCTTACCAAAGAGGAATGTGCGCTTCAAGTAAAAACAGTTAATTAACCACTGTATTAAGTCACAGACGTAATATCTATGTTTGGAAGAAAGCTTTTGCATCTTGGTATCTAAAATGAGCTCTACAATACAGCTGAGCTGTCAGCTGTGCATTCATTCTTAAACCCGCTCTCACAGGGGTCTATTATCTACTGCTACACTGAAAAAACCTTACATACTGACACCTAAAAACCCTGTTAGAAATCAGTCACTATAGGCACTACAGTTGGACAACACACTATGGTCTACTGGCTTGTTTTTCTGTGCTAATGAGAGGAAAGCAAAAGCAGGCATTACAGATCAGTGAAATAAAACCTCAGCACATTTGGTCAGCCTTTGAAGTTTCACTGCTTTTGTCTATTTAATCTGCTTAACCAAAGCTTCATTATAATCCAGTGCAAATACTTGAGCAGAAACATTCACTGCACTTTCCCCACTTGTTTGATACAGATTCTGTACAATTCTCTCTGGATTGAAATCTATTTAGTTTATTGAGGAAAAATATATGTACTCATACTGCCTCTTGTGAGTTTGAAAAAAATAAGTGCTTTTTAACAACTTTGGAAAGGATGAATTGTTAAAGGCCTGTGACAGATCAGCTACAGTTTTCAGGCCAACAGCCAGTGGGAGTACCAGACTGAGAGACAAATAGATGCTCCCAGCAAGATTATGGCACTAAAAAACACTGCACATTTTTTTATTCACCTCTAAGAAACACACAAAAAGCAAGACCCCAACTTGTTGATCGTAGTGAAGTTCAAACCTGCTTATTATTGCAAATCCTGAATGCACCAATCAGAATCTGATTTTGAAAAAACACATTTCAGATGTTCAGTGGCATATTGGTTCTTCTTTACGAAAACTGGCAATGGGTCTCCTAAACTATGATAAAACCAAACCCAAACCACTGTTAATTCTTGGTCTTCAGCCTAGAAATCAACATTGCTGATAATGGGTATTAATTAATACCAGTTAATTAATTAATTAATATTATTCCACTTTATGGATTTGTTAGTTCTCTGAAGCATTAGAAGGAATCCTCCTGCAGAAAGGAATGGAAATCATTACTGGTTTGTAAATCACAAGTTAACAAAATCAAGACCCTAAACAAATAGTCACGTTTCCAATATATCCATTAATAAACACAAGAACTAGTTCTACAAAGACCAGCTGTCCTTTGACTATCACAAAAGAACTGCACTATTTCCTGAGAAACAAGCATATCTAGGGCCACAGACATACAGTAACCGAAGAGAAAATTTTCTCTCACCACGATGCACAGACAATTCCAGTTTGCTGCTAAATTAACATTAAATTTTATGTATTTCACTTTATATATAACCAATCATTCTATGAACAAGTACCAGGCCTGAATTTCAGGCTGTACTGAAACAGATCCCGCAGCTCTGGTCCACTGCAGCTTCATGCAAGAGCAGCAGGCGGGCTCTGGACTAATGCACCTCTGGTGAAAACCCAGGGTGGGAATCAACATGAGAGAGCAAAGCCACTGGAAACACCATGCTACAAACTCTTACATGCCATTGTGCCACCAGAAACTGTGAATTTCAGTTGTCATATACCTCTGCAGGATAGCAGGAGCATAATAATCATAGTGATAAAACTACTACCAAAGGAACTGAAAGAATTTGGGGTGAAAGAGGGGCAGGGATGAGAGTCATAGTGTCATTTGAGCACATCCAAAGCCCAAGCTCAACCAGACATAAAGCCAATGTAGTCAGCCCTCTCAAGTACCATGATCCTCCAAAAGAGATGCTGAACATGAGCCAGCAGTGTGCACAGGTGGCTAAGAAGGCCAATGGCATCCTGGCCTGTATCAGAAACACTGTCACCAGCAGAACCAGGGAAGTCATCCTTCCCCTGTACTCAGCATTGGTGAGGCCACACCTTGAATACTGTGTCCAGTTTTGGACCCCTCATTACAAGAACAACATTGAGGCACCGGAGCATGTCCAGAGAAGGGC